AAACCACCGGAAAGACGTGTGCACCTCGCGTGCTTTGCTCACTTGCTTCCTGCAACCCCCGTGGCCACTCAGATAGGCCCGTGGCCAGTGTCGTGGCCTGTCTCCTGTGGCCAGAACGACACACCCCAAGAGTGCCAGGTGCACCTTGGAAAACGAGGCCATTTTGCATTTATTTCTTCCCAGTCCTCAGCTGCTTCCAAATGAATCAGGACCAGAAAATCAGATTTCATGATAAAGCCAGTCCTGACTCTGTTAGGATTCCAGGGACCCCACAGTGCATGTGTACAGGCCATTGCCCTGAGGAGGAAGCAGCGTGTGGTCACCTGCTTCTCCCCTTTGTTTCTTCCCTTCCCTTCCCTTCCCTTCCCTTGCCTTCCTTTCCCCTTCCCTTCCCCTTCCTTTGCCTGCCTTCCTTTCTTTTTTCTTTCTTTCTTTCTTTCTTTCTTTCTTTCTTTCTTTCTCTGTTCCTTTCCTTTCTTTCCATTTCTTTCTCTTTCTCTTTTAAACTTTAATTTTTTTTTATTTTAAAGAGAATAAAGACTAACAGAATAAATTCAATCAAAGCAAAACAATGAAAGTCGCACCAGAACTCCACAACAGGCCAATTGCAAGTCGGCCATGACTACAGGATGCCTTATGTTATCTTCACAATAGTTGTCCATATCATTGAATCAAATGAAACAGAGTAAAACCAATCAAAGCAAAGTGAAATAAAACAAGACAATAAATCAGAACAAAACTACATGGCGAGAACACTATTGGATTTCAAAAACAAGACAAAAGGGAATGCCCCATATTTGTTGTATTGCATACTGTCATCCTCCCAATAGAGGCTCAGACTATCAGCCTTAGGTCTGCAAAGTCAATCAAACAATATAAGCCTTTCCTCTTCCTGTGAGTCTGCAGAAGCCATGCTGGGTCTGGGAGGGATATAAAAGGAAGCCAGTTCACCCTTCCCATGAGCCAACTGGTGCATGGGCTGAGAATCAAGGGGACCCCCTCCCCACTCCCTACCCTGTAAGCAACCCTTTGGTCCTATTTCTTTCAAAACTGCTCATGAATGCTATGTGGCTCCACCCTAGACCATTTCTCACTTCCTGCCCTGAGTTTTCTAACATCATCTGGGACAATATTACATCCATTTGTAGCTGCTATGTTTCCCACAGCCAACAACCTTATCCCCACTCTATCCAGAACCCCAAGAAGCATTAAACATGCAGCAGGTATGCAGTGGCCATGATTCATGAAGGAACTGGCTCTTTCCCAGGAGTTTCTTGTTGACCACGTAAGACTACTGACCAGCCTCCTTGATGCTGTGGGAAGAGGAGGACAAGGGTGATGTGGATTCCAGGCTGTGGAACACCTGCTTGCTTATCCATTATGGAGCCAGGACTGGACTCAGGTGGACCACATCGAGCCTCCCCTGTAGCAAGGGCTGGGTAAGACGACTTACTGCTATGTGAACCATGGGGGCCCAACAGCAAGGTCACTCATGCAGCCCCCAGGGCCAGACACCACAACCCCTGAAAACACGCTCACCTTCCTGCTAGTCTGCAAGCTGACCACAGCCCTAAGGTTTTAGAGCCAGGTCCCATTTGCAATACGAGCCTCCTTGTGAAGCCAGCCTTCCTCCAAGTACCAAACAACTCCACATAGGGTGACTACACATCACAGAATAAAGCCACAAATGCAAGGAGTATGTTGAAACAGGCCTTGCCAGGCACAGGGAAACCCACTCAGGGAAGGTTCTCATCACAGGGCCCTGACACATTTTGGAAGAGCAAGGGAACACAGAAAAAGAAAGAGGCTTGGACCATAAGAAGGGCAGTGTGGTGGTAGAAGAGGATCCCAGTGTGTTTGATATACGTGGAAATCCACCAGAATGAAACTCACCAGTTACTATAATTCATAGGCAGTCATTTTAAAATGGAGAAAAAAAATCTTTTTGAAAGAAAACACTGAATAACTGAGAAGGACCCTCTGTAGCTACTGCTTCTGTCTGGTTTCTTTGCCATGGAAAATGTTTTTCTTTATAGAACCATGGCTGACCTCATGTTTACATTATTGGAAGATAACTCGGGATGCTACAGTCTGCTTTTCATTGCTAAACACGAAAGGTCTTTGGAAAAAGTCAAATCAAATCAAATAATGCTATTGAAAATACGCAGATGAATGGAGTTTACATAATAGCAAAAATTTCCAATGAAAGTAATGAAATGGCTTGGGGAAAGGATTTTATCTTTTGGGAAAGGAAGGGGAAGGGAAATGAAGAGAAGGGAGGGGAGGGAAGGGGAAGGGAATGAGAAGGAAGGGAAGGGAAGGGAAGGGAAGGGAAGGGAAGGGAAGGGAAGGGAGGGAAGAGGAAGGGATGGGAAGGGGAAGGGAAGGGAAGGGAGGGAAGAGGAAGGGATGGGAAGGGAAGGGAAGGGAGGGAAGAGGAAGGGATGGGAAGGGGAGGGAAGGGAAGGGGAAGGGAAATGAAGAGAAGGGAGGGGAGGGAAGGGGAAGGGAATGAGAAGGAAGGGAAGGGAAGGGAAGGGAAGGGAAGGGAAGGGAAGGGAAGGGAAGGGAAGGGAGGGAAGAGGAAGGGATGGGAAGGGGAAGGGAAGGGAAGGGAGGGAAGAGGAAGGGATGGGAAGGGAAGGGAAGGGAGGGAAGAGGAAGGGATGGGAAGGGAAGGGAAGGGAGGGAAGAGGAAGGGATGGGAAGGGGAAGGGAAGGGAAGGGAGGGAAGAGGAAGGGATGGGAAGGGAAGGGAAGGGAGGGAAGAGGAAGGGATGGGAAGGGAAGGGAAGGGAGGGAAGAGGAAGGGATGGGAAGGGGAAGGGAAGGGAAGGGAGGGAAGAGGAAGGGATGGGAAGGGAAGGGAAGGGAGGGAAGAGGAAGGGATGGGAAGGGGAAGGGAAGGGAAGGGAGGGAAGAGGAAGGGATGGGAAGGGAAGGGAAGGGAGGGAAGAGGAAGGGATGGGAAGGGAAGGGAAGGGAGGGAAGAGGAAGGGATGGGAAGGGAAGGGAAGGGAGGGAAGAGGAAGGGATGGGAAGGGGAAGGGAAGGGAAGGGAGGGAAGAGGAAGGGATGGGAAGGGAAGGGAAGGGAGGGAAGAGGAAGGGATGGGAAGGGAAGGGAAGGGAGGGAAGAGGAAGGGATGGGAAGGGGAAGGGAAGGGAAGGGAGGGAAGAGGAAGGGATGGGAAGGGAAGGGAAGGGAGGGAAGAGGAAGGGATGGGAAGGGAAGGGAAGGGAGGGAAGAGGAAGGGATGGGAAGGGAAGGGAAGGGAGGGAAGAGGAAGGGATGGGAAGGGAAGGGAAGGGAGGGAAGAGGAAGGGATGGGAAGGGGAAGGGAAGGGAAGGGAGGGAAGAGGAAGGGATGGGAAGGGAAGGGAAGGGAGGGAAGAGGAAGGGATGGGAAGGGGAAGGGAAGGGAAGGGAGGGAAGAGGAAGGGATGGGAAGGGAAGGGAAGGGAGGGAAGAGGAAGGGATGGGAAGGGAAGGGAAGGGAGGGAAGAGGAAGGGATGGGAAGGGGAGGGAAGGGAAGGGAAGGGAAGGGAGGGGATGGGAGGGAAAAGAAAGGGAAAGGAAGGGAAGGGAAGGAAAGAGAAGGATAAATGGAAGAAATAATGGATGGAGGGCAGAAGGAAGGAAGGTCACATACAAATTCATATAAATATAACATCTGGGTCCCACATAGATCTCAAAGACTGAAAATACTCTCCAAATATCCTAGAGGGCAAACCAGTGGCAGCATAACACTGTGAGATAAGCTTCTGAGTGCATGAGAACAGGTCTATGTGCTATGATAATTAAATAAATGTAAGCACAACAATGTCACTGCGCATGAGCTATCCACAGCTCGCTGACACGTGAAAATCTAACGCTCACTTCAGAGACGCAACATCCTGCTGACTTACAGGGTAAAATGCACTTCTGATCATGCCACCAAGGTGTGGATAATGTAGACCGATTTCCACGCGAGATTTTAGAAAGGCTAAATCATAAGGAAGCCAGTGTGTGAAAAAGCTCAGAGTTCTGGGCAGATTTTTTACAGACTCTGACAGAAAGAGCTCTGCTTTTCTTTTTCCTGCTTAGCGCTCATCTTTTGTGCTCACTCTTGTTATCTTAGGGTACTGTGCATGGCTGGAGCCGAAGGTTAGAACCAGCTCATTCTGAATTCTTCACATCTAGATGACAGACAAAAGACCAGGGGATTAAAGCTGTCACCAGAGAGTTCCCAGAGAGACAGATAAACAAGAGGTAGGAGCTCCAAGAAGGGTCCGGTCTTATTTCTTACAATGGTGAGTGCTCCCTGATTTAAAACAGAACACAACACAGTACAGCCAGGCACAGGGGTCTACACCTATAATTTCAGGAAGGCTGAGGCAGGAGGATCTCAAGATCATGAACGGCAAGGGTAATTGAGCAAGACTCTGTTTTAAAAAGGTAAGAGCTAGGGATATCACTGTGTGGCAGAGGGCTTACCTAGTATGCACAAAGCCCCGGCTTCTACCCTCAGAGTTGAGATATTTAGTTGTGCAAAACAAACGGAAATACAGTAATGATCTCAGGTAGGTATGAAAAGCATCTGGGGAAGGGGGGTGCAGGGGGTTAAACCCAGGAAGTTTTCATTGAACATTGCCCCCAGCCCTCTTTTATTTTATTTCATTTTATTATCTTTATTCAGAGACAGGTTCTTGTTAAGGCACTAAATTGCCTCGGGTGGCCTCAAACTTGAGATCCTCCTGCCTCAGCCTCCCTGGCTCCTTTCCCCATTTATGTCTAGGATCATGAGGTTGCCATGGCAAGGACGGATGCACACACAGGGTGCAAGATGCTCTCTGCATTCTGTTTACCTCTCTGGATTCCCGTTTCTCTGGTTATCACTTTCAAAAAGGAAAAGTTAATACACTTGCTGCCTAGAAGGACTCCAGGAAGCCAGGGAGAAATTCTTAAACAGAGGGTGGAAGACGGCCACTTTCTAGGAAATTGCGGGCATCACACCTACCTATACTCCAATCCATCTCCTCCACGGCATCACCGTAAAGGCCATGGCGACTTTTGTTGGCAAAGTCCTTGGAAGAGAAGAGGGCCGTGTGCACTTGGAGATAGGACAAGAAAAGGAGAAAGGGCTTTTCAGTATTCCTGCACAAATGACAAGAAAGAAAAAACGGGGGGTCAGTGGCAATAAAAAGCTTCTACCCACCATACCGATCATGCATGATGTGCTGTGAAAACACAAAATACTGTGGCTTAAGCGGCTGACACAGGATCTTTCTTTGCAGCAGAGTAAATCTGTATGAAGTGACTTAGTGGGGCACGGGATGCCTGTGTGTTTCCCAGAGAGAGCACTGGCAGCTCCTGGAGATGCGCACAGGAAACCCCACACCAGCCTCTTCTCCATGGCCAGGCCCTCTTGCTCTCACTCTGATCCCGGCCAGCTCTTGGCTCCACTTCTAATGTGGCTCCACTCCTCAAATACCCATTCTCCAGGTCTCCTGTGTCATCACACATAGTGCAATGGTCAACTTTCTACTTGCTGCCACAATACCGGACACTGGCAAAATGAGGACCAGAGGGTTAACTTGACTCAAAAGTTTGCAGAGATTTATTCCATCCTCTGCTCTGTGGGCTCCAAGGCACAAACATCACGATGGAAGCAAATGACAAAGCACAGATGTTTACCCCGATGGCAGCTAGGATGCAGAGAGAGAGAGAGAGACACACACACAGAGTGACAGAGAGAGACAGACAGAGATACAGAGAGACAGAGATAAACAGAGACAGTGGCAAACAGAGACAGAGAGACAGAGACAGACAAAGACACTGAGACAGATAGGGGCAAAGAGAGAGACAGAGAGAAAGACCAAAAGAGAGACAGAGAAAGTGAGAGAGATAGAGAGGGAAACCGAGACACAGAAGGAGACAAATACAGAGAGAGACACAGAGAGATACACACAGAGAGAGACACATAGACAAAAATAGAGACAGACTGAAAGAGAAACAGATATAGAGACACAGAGATAGACACAGAGACACAGAAAGACAGAGACAGACAGAGGCAGAGAGAGAGACAGAGAGATAGACTAAAAGAGAGACAGAGAAAGAGAGATAGAGAGGGAGACAGAGACAGACACAGAGAGAAACAGAGATAGACAGAGATACATAGACAAAAACAGAGTTAGACACAGAGAAACAGAGACTGAGAGACTGAGAGAGACAGAGACAGAGAGACAGAGATAGAGACCAAAACAGAGAGACAGAGTAAGACACAGAGAGACAAAGAAAGATAAAGATAGAGAGACCAAAAGAGAGAGACAGAGAAAGACACATAGACAGAGAGAGATAGAGGCAGAGTCAGAGAGAAACAGAGGAGCTAGGGACAAGAATATGCCCTTCCAGGTTATACCCAAGGTCCTACCTCTTCCATTCAAGCCCAGCTTCATGGCACCATCAGCCACGACCTCACCAATGGGTGAATCAACCAATTTGTGGAGTGATCCATGATCTGATCAACTTCCAAAAGCCCCAGCTCAAGAGGCTTTGGGGTGGCACATTAGTCCTAAATCATAGCGCAGCATTCTGACAAACCCCACCCCAATGTCAACACTCATGCACACTTTCCATGCTGCAATGCAACACATTTACTACTTCCCAACATCAGCAGCACATTTACAGGTCTAGGCCCAGCACCCAATCTTCATTCTGCCAAATGCTTAATTCTTCCTCTGACTGGCACACATCCTTTCATAAATCAGCGCTTTAATGTCTAAGAGGCATTTTCTCTCTGCCCAGGCAACTGTAAGAGGGCTGAGTGTTAGGGAGCTTTAATTTTCAATTGAATACCTGAGACCTGTTCCAGGCATGGGTTGTAGAAGGTGCTCAACAACATTGCCAAGTGAAAAAGTGGGCAGATGGGCGGGTGGATGGGAGGGTGGATGAAAGGTGGGTGGGTGGATAAATGGATGGATGCATGGATGGATGGGTGGATGAATGGATGGATGGGTGGGTGTATAGATGGATGGGTGGATGGATGGATGCGTGGGTGGATGGATGGATGGATGGATGGATGGATGGATGGATGGGTGGATGGTGGATGGATGGATGGATGGATGGGTGGATGGATGCATGGATGGATGGATGGATGGGTGGATTAATGGATAGGTGGATGGGTAGATGGATGCATGGATGGATGGATGGGTGGATGGATGGATGGATAGGTGAATGAATGGATGGATGAGTGAATGGATGGATGGGTGGGTGGATGGATGGATGGGTGGGTGGATGGATGGATGGGTGGATGAGGTGGGTGGATGGGTGGATGAGTGGGTAGGTGGATAGGTAGATGGATGCATGGATGGATGGATGGATGGATGGATGGATGGATGGATGAGTGAATGGATGGATGAGTGGGTGGATGGATGGATGGATGGGTGGGTGGATGGATGGATGGGTGGATGAGGTGGGTGGATGGATGGGTGGGTGGATGGATGGATGGGTGGATGAGGTGGGTGGATGGGTGGATGAGTGGGTAGGTGGATAGGTAGATGGATGCATGGATGGATGGATGGATGGATGGATGGATGGATGAGTGAATGGATGGATGAGTGGGTGGATGGATGGATGGATGGGTGGGTGGATGGATGGATGGGTGGATGAGGTGGGTGGATGGGTGAATGAGTGGGTAGGTGGATAGGTGGATGGATGCATGTATGTATGGGTGGATGGGTGGATGGATGGATGGGTGAATGGATGGATGGGTGGGTCGATGCATAGATGGGTGGATGGATGGTGGATGGATGGATGGATGGATGGGTGGATGGGTGGATGGGTGGATGGGTGGATGGATGCATGGATGGATGGATGGGTGGGTGGATGGGTGGGTTGATGGATAGGTGGGTAGGTAGATGGATGCATGGATGGATGGATGGGTGGATGGATGGATGGGTTGGTGGGTGGATGGGTGGATGGATGAATGGATAGATGGATGATGGATGGATGGATTGATGGACTGGATGGATGAGTAGATGGCTAGCTGACTGGCTGGCTATATGGGTGGATAAAAGGATGGGTGGATAGATAGATGGATGCATGGGTGGATTGCTGAATGGATGGATGGGTGGGTGGATGGATGGATCGGTGGATGCATGCATGAATGGATGGATGGGGTGGGTGGATGGGTGGATGGATGGATAGGTGGATAGGTGGATGGATGCATGTATGGATGGATGGGTGGATGAGTGGATGGATGGATGGGTGGGTGGATGGATGAGTGAATGGATGGGTGGGTGGATGGATGGATAGATGGGTGGATGGATGGATGGTTGGATGGATGCATGGATGGATGGATGGGTGGGTGGATGGGTGGATTTATGGATAGATGGATAGGTGGATGGATGCATGTATGGATGGGTGGGTGAATGGGTGGATGGATAGATGGGTGGATGGATGGGTAGATGGATGGATGGATAGGTGGATGGCTGGCTGGCTGACTGGCTGACTGGATAAAAGGATGGGTGAATGGATGGGTGAGTGGTTGGATGGACAGATGGATGTAATTTCTAATAGAGCTACTTTTCCACTACACAAGAAGTGTTTATGAGTTGTGTACCACACTGGACCATGCACTGGTAATTTCCTTTATATGACTGCATTCCTAGTGCAGCTAAGATGAAATATTGCATCAGCTTTCTCAGGTCTTGCAGCCCTGCCTGGCAGCCCAGAGAGAAGCAGGAGCTTAACCACACATCACGGTTCATGCTAAAGTGCCTTCCTAGTGTAGGGATGACTGCATCCAACATCTACATCTCTTGTAATTGTGAAAGGATCATCTCCTACTTTCAATACCTTTTCCACCCATTAGAGAAATCATGTCATCAGCCGAGGTCATTTTGCTTTCATATATATTGGATCAGGTAACTCTTCAGGATAACTAAAAACATTTCCAATTTAAGATTACTTATCATGCCTCTAATTTAACCCTGAAAAAGTAAAAGGATGTATACTTTCCTGAGTGTACATGCAATTTCCTAGCAATGAAACTATCCTGTTGCTGACAGAATATCTCAATACCTCACATTTACTCGGACTACCCACTTCCTTAGATTGGTTTTGCATTTATGACCTCCCAGTCCTTTGAAACATGGCACAGTCACCAAACACTAAGTCCAGCATTTCTTGTTCTGTGGATACAGTGTTGTACTTCCTCAAAAAGCCCCTGAGATGAAAAATGGGGCAAAACCCCTGAGATGGAAAAGATGGGGCAGAACGACATGATTTTTAGGAAGAAGCACTTTTATTTTAGCTGGCCCAGCGACACAGTGCAGATGAAATTTGCAATGCTGTGCAACTGAGTTAGAGTTTTGACTGATTTTTATAGTTCATTTATAATTAGCTCATTGATCATTAAGTATATTGTGATGAGAAACAGAAATAAGGTGGGCCTTTGTTCCTCTTTGCTTGAGGTAAGAGGCATTTCACAGTGAGTGGTTAGCCAATTTATAGCCCTTGGTCTGCCAATTCCAGGAACACTTGTCTCTCATAAAGGGAACAATGGTTGACACAGCATCAATTGTCTCTTACAAGGGGAACAAAAGTTGACACAGCAAACAGGTTACTAAGGTGGGGGGATGATACATTACAGAACAGCAGAACAACGCGGTCAATTAATTTATAACTATGTGGTTGGTGCTTGGTTACTAGGGTAACGAGCTCAGTACAGAATGACAATATTGCTAATAACTATCCTTTTAAGTAACTATTTTTGCTAATTATCTTTTAATCAATTATTTTAATTTTTCAGCATCTTAGTATAACATACAGAACACAAAATAAGCAAGTCATGGCTAGCTATGTTTGTGTTTTATTGTTTCTGCTCCTGAAGACAATTTTTAAAAATTTTTACTTGTAGTAACAGGGATTGAACTCAAGGCTTTTGCACTGAGCTACATCCCCAGATGTTCGAAAAAAAAATTATATTTTGAGACAGGGTCTTGTGAAGTTGGTAAAGCTGTACATACTAGATTCCAACTTGCAATCCTCCTGTCTCAGCCTCTGATTAGTGCTGGGATGACATGTGTGTACCTCCTCAGATGGCTGCCTTTTTAAAACTAACAGTAATAAATGAAAGAATATTGTCACTACTT